TTAATTACAGATTCAATCAACAATGTATTTTCCCTGATTATCTATGACTTCCTTCCATCTATTAACAAGTTTACTAATTCCATTACTGCAAAATTCTTTTGGCTTTGATTCGAAGAACTCACAAATGTCAGTTTTAACCTCTTCCTGTGTTACAAAAGCTGTTTCTTCCAAATGATTCTCTAAGCTAGGAAACAAATGGTAGTTTCAAGGAGCAAGATCGGGAGAATAAGGTGAGGAATTTTCTCCCAACCAAGTTCTTCGATCTTTTGTGACGTGATTCTTGCTGTATGGGGTCGCGCATTGTCCTGATGAAACATTACCTCTTTTCGATTCACTAGAGGAGGCCTTTTTTTCCTCAAAGCTTGGTTCAAACGCTCTAATTGCTGACAGTATATTTGAGCATTAATTGTTGCATTAGGTGGTAAGAATTCAAAGTCGATTATTCCTTGGCGATCCCACCAGATTGAAAGAAGAACATTTTGCCCATGAAGTTCCCTTCTCGGCTGTGGCTGGGGTCCTTCCCCTTTCCGGAGCCACTGTCTACGACGTTTAACATTTCGATAAAAGATCCATTTTTCGTCGCCAGTCACACGTCTATCCAAAAAAGGTGAAAGAAGTTGGCGAGAATGGAGAGAAGAGCAGATGTCAACTCGGAATTTGAGGTTGTTTTCCGACAATTCATGAGGCACACAGTTGAAGATGACGATGAACAGTCGTATGGTTTGAACTGAGAACCACTGCCAATTCCTTAACTGATAAAGCAGGATTTTCTTCAAGGGCTGCTTCAAGAAGCTTTTCATCAAACTCAACTGGACGTCCGGTTCGATCTTCATCTTCAAGGGTGAAATCTCCACCTCTGAATTTTGCAAACCATCTTCTGCAAATTCTTTCATTCACACATTCCTCTCCATAAACTGAGTGAATGTTTCTAGCCGCCTCGGCTGCTGAGTTTCCTTTCTTGAACTCATAAAGCATTATGTGCCTCAAATGACTCTTGGGAACTTCCATGTTAGCAGGGTTTTAGTCAAACAAAATTTAATTTTATTGTTCTCTGAAATAAAATTTGATCAGTTTAGATGCATCTAAACATAAAAATAATGTTCAGCTCCATTAGACATTATAAAATACTCTTTAAATTTCGTTCATTTTAACAAAATGTTAAAATTCAGACAGAACTTATGGGATGACCTGATATAATAATGGAACTAGTGTTAAAAAAGCAACACGAAGAGCTTCTTTCCAAGAATCTCTACTTTGTGAAACAGACTCTCTAGAATATGTTTTTCCGATCACTACACTTTTAACCTCTACAAAACTAGCGTTAAACATTATCTATCCTCCATATCCTGAGAAACTGCACTTCTTACTTCCTCCTCTTATGTTCATACAACAACCTCACTGAATAACCCTCCACTTTTAGTGACCCTAACATTAGTAAAAGAAAGTAAAAATAAATAAATAAATTCGAATTTAAGAAGAATCTATAATTCTCATCTTCATTGCGATATTCACAATGTTGTACGCTCCAGCCATCTTCAGGTGATCGGAATTTCGAAGCGAACCTTTTATTTCGTCCACCGGGGTAGATTGATCTAGTTCCACGTGCGATGGCTCTTCCGGAGGTCTCAGTTATTTCCCTTTAACTCAACACTCCAATCTATCCCGGCGTACGAAATAAAAGGCTCAGTTCGAAATTCCAGTAACCTAAAGGCTGGAGTGTACAACGACAAAAAGTGGAGAATATGGCAATGAAGATGAGGATAACAGTAAGTAATGCAAGTAATCATAATGCCACATCTCAGAGATATAGGAAGACATTGAAGAATCTATAAGTATTTTAATCATTCCAATGTTACTGGTGTTACCAGTATTCACTATTCATATTTTTTATCGAGTTCACCCCATGCAAGAAAGTAAAGCAAATAAGACACAAAGGGTTACTGGGTGTGGAAGAATTAGAAAACAGAAATATTACTAAGGATCGAGTAGAGAAGAAAAGTAATCAGGAGGACAGTAGATAGCGATTGACATTGCATTTAAATTTCTGAATTTTAAAGTCGATTGAAAAGCATTGACGATTACCTAGAGCAAACTCGGAAGGCTGTGAAAAATAACATAACTGACATGTCTGATGCTAACCTCCAAGAAAGCGACTCATTGCACCTTCTATGACTAACGTTTTTCCGCTGACAGAAAGCGTAAGGATTATTTTAAATCAAGTGCTAGGTCTTCTGCTAGGAAAGTTGGTCCACTGCGTCGTGCTAGACAAGTTTTCTCGCCATAATCAAACACATTTATAAGTCTGCCATCCGTCCGTGTATTGAATATTGCTGTGACATATGGTCTGCTGCTTCTGCTATGTATTTAGACATTATTGATAAATTACAAAGAAAAATCAGCGCCGGTTCGTTAAAGACACCGAAACAAGGAACGCGATATTCATGCTCAGGAGGTTAACAGAAAGAGCGATACAAATGCAGAAGGACGTGCATCTATGTTTCATAGACTATGCAAGGGTCTTAGACAAACTACGCCACAAGGATCTGCTGGAACTACTCAGCAACCTTGATATATTCGGGAAAGATATCAGAATATTCAAGGACCTATACTGGCAGCAAACAGCACGCATGCGCATAGAGAACGAGTTCAGTGAATATACAAAAATAGAAAGGAGAGTAAGGCAAGGATGAGTCTTCTCACTTGACATGTTCAATCTATACAGCGAGGCAATTCAGAGAGAATTGGAAACCCTACTGTTATTTAGCATTAGCGGCCACAATCTTAACAACATAAGATACGCAGATGACATAGTACTGATAGCAGACACGGAAAAGAAATTACAAAATCTCCTACAGAAGGTAGCGACGGAGAGTGTGAAGAAGGGACTAAGCATAAACTACAAGAAAACAGAATGCATGGTCATCAGTAAAAGGATGAGCCCGAAATACGATCTGCAGGTCGGGAACACTAGAATCAAGCAGAGGCGGAAGTTTATATTATCTGGAAAGCGTTTTGACAGAGGACGGTAAGTGCGACACTGAGATCTATCGACGTATTGGAATGACCAAGGACGCATTCCAAAAGCTGGGCAGAGTATTGCGAGACAGGAGGATTTCTTTGGTAACGAAGAAAAGTGTACTGAGCTGTTACGTGACATTTGAGCAGCGAATGTTGGACGATTTCCTCAAAGATGAAGAAGAGACTCGAAGCGATGGAGATGTGTTTCTACAGAAGGATGCTAAGGATATCATGGACCAAGTGTGTGAGCAACGATGAGGTTTTGGAGAGGATGCAAACAAGGAGAAGGCTTATACTCAACATCAGGAAGAGGCAGCTGAAGTTCCTGGAACACATGATGAGGAAGGAGGGCCTGGAGAATCTGATACTCACAAGTCGAATAGAGAGAAAGAGAGACAAGGGAAAACAATGCATGACATACCTAGTGGCCTTAAGCAAGTGGATGACAGAACGTGGTCTGGGGGAGGAAGCAGAGGGAAGGAACTTGTTGAGAGCTGCAAGGAATAGAGGGAGGTGGACAGCCATGATCGTCTACATCCTGAAAGGACACGGCACATAGAAAGTAAGACCTGATATCTCAGCTTCAGTCACTTTCCCACCACTGTACGTGGCTTCACTGTGCCTTTTCTATAAATACTTTCGTGATAATTCTCTTGTTGACCTTTCCTCTAAGGTATCTAGATTTTATGGATTTAAAAGCACAGTACGAGATTAGGGGCAAGGTCTTATCATTTTAGTTGAATTTTTTTTAATCGAGTTCAAGGAAGTTAAGCCACGGAGACGGAGGGGGTTACTGGGTATGGAAGAGTTAGAAACAGGGACATTGATAAGGAGCGAGAACTGAGGAAGAGTAACAAGGAGGACAGCAGATAGCGATTGATATTGCATTTAAATTTTTACAGATTAAAGTTGTCTGGAAAACATGGAGCCGGAAGAGAGTTCCACAGAAGAGAAGTGCGAGTACAGGAACTGTTAGAAGAGAACTTGCGGTTATATCTAGCCAGCTCAACTCGCCAGTCTAGTTCTAGTCTCAAACTCGAAGAGTCTAGTCATAATCGAAGAGCCATTATGAAAATGAAATGGCTAGATTTAACCGTATGTTCTATACTAACAGTTTCTTCTCTCACACTTTACGCTTTTAGAAATCTCTTCTGGCTTCTGACTTTACAGTCAACTTTGATCTTCAAAAATTTAAATAAAATGTCAGTCGTCATCTTCTGTCTTCTTGGTTTACTCTTTTATTGTTCTCGCTCCTTAATAATGCTTCTCTTTTTTTTCTTATTCTTTCAAACTTAGTAACCCATTGTGTCTTAATGGCTTTACTACCTTGCATGGGGTGAAATGATTAAAAAACTCCTGATGAAAATCAATCTATCTATCTATCGTCATCTTCTGTCTATGTAGCTATCTATCTATGTATGTATGTATGTATCTATGTATCTATCTACCTATGTACGTATCTATATACCTAGGTAACTATGTATCTATCTATGTATCTTTTGTCTTCTATGTATCGATGTATGTATCTTTCTATGTATTTATCTACCTATGTATCCATATATGTATCTGTCTATCTATGTATGTATCTCTCTATCTAGCTATATATATACAGGGTGTCCATAAAGTTCGTGTTCACTTAAAAAATTTATAACTTTATTTGTATTTGCGATAGAAATAATCTGTAAAAAATGTTATAAAGTTTAACGTACCTAGTTTTAAGTATAGCTAAAATAACTAATGTGATTTCAGGCATTACTCTAAATCAGTTGACAAATGTTTTCCGTGAACTGCAAAATCGTATTAGCCTTTGTATTGCTAATGATGGAGGACATGTGGAAACTTAAATAAACTTTCAATAAAACCTTACAAAATAGAGATTTACTTCTTTCTAATCCTTTTTACAAATTATTTCTATCGCAAATACAAATAAAGTTATAAGTTTTTTAAAGTGCACACGAACTTTATGGACATCCTGTATATACATGTGTGTGTGTTTCTGTGTATCTATCTATCTATCTATCTATCTATCTATCTATTTACCGTCATTTTTCTCTTCTTAATTCCTGTTCTTTTATTGTTCTCTCTCTTTAAATGTTTTCTTTTTCTAACCTTCTCTCAGACGCTTGCGGCTTTCTTGTCTTACTTGGGGTGAAATGACTGGAAAAACAATTTTTGCGTTGCATTCTAACTTTCACTGTGGATCGGTATGATATACTTATTCGCTAGTAAACAAAATTAATTCCCCTGTTAAGTATGATAATGAGAAATCAAATTGATAAAAATTAATGGCACAAACCATTTAACCCGGGCAATGACAAGTAATCTTGCTTGTTATATATGCCTGAGACTCATGAATAATTTAGTGATGCCAGCGCTCGTTGGCGTGCATGTATCTATATAGATTTGTGTTCGAATGTTGCATGCGTATTTATGTGCATTGTTGGGTCATTCACAGTGCGCATGGGTAATGGCATGCCCTTGCCAGCACAGAAGGGTACCCGGATGTAATCACGCACGTTTCACGACGAGCGTGTTCATTTTACATCCCACTTCTTCTCTTCGAGCTTATTCTCCTCCTTTTTAACCTCTCCCTTTTGTATTCGTTGTTTATGCTTTCTTCCTCTTTTGATGTTCCGTCGACTCGTCACTTTCTCCTTAATTTTCTTCGTTCTTTGTCTTTGGCCTTCTAGCCTATCTCTTTCTTTTCTCTTTGTTATCTTCTCATAATGTTCTTTTCATCAAGAGAAAGGCGGGAAAAACGCAATCTTTCCCGCCTTTCTGTTTTTTTCTTTGTCATATTCGTCTTCTTTTTGTTCCAGGCTTTCTGCTTTTCTTCTCTCACTCTACTATTCTTCTTTACTGTAATAGTATTCTTTTCAGCTCACCTTTATTTACTGTTTCTATCCACATTATTCTCCTTCATATATATATATATATATATATATATATATATATATATATATATATATATATATATATATATACTCACCGGACGTCTTTTATACAGCTTTTTTAAAATCAAGGGAGTTTACAAACAAAAATCAATGCTTTCCAAGCAATTAATGGACATTTGATGAAAATGCCAGCAATTCTCTCTCACCCTTTCTCATTCACTTTCTGTCCCCTCTTTCTCTCGCTCTCCATGTCGACTTCCTTTCTCTCTTTCTTATCTTTCTTACACTCCCTCTTTCATTTTCCTCTTTGCCATTCATTCTCTCTCTTGCTATCTCACTCTCTTCGTTTCTCTCTATTCTTTCTCTTGTTCTCTCCACACCCTTTCTCTCTCTCTCTCTCTCTCTCTCTCTCTCTCTCTCTCTCTCTCTTGCGTGCGCGCTTCTCGTCTTCCCTTTCCCTCCCTCCCTCGAAAGACTTTCAAATAGAACCATTCCATTCCCAAAATGCGTCTACTGGAAAAACGATACCGGATAATCGATTATGGCGTCAATCGCAAAGTGATTTGCATTTTCGCGGGCAAATGGCGTGCTACTCAAGAAAAGAAGTCGAGACATTGTGACTAATTCGGTCGAGTGTCAATTCTATCACTTCAGATTATTTATATAATCGGCTAATTCAGTTTTATACAATAGAAACGAATCTACAGGTTTTGAAATCACCTATGAATACGTACTATCAGAAAAAAGTGGGTCTTCTTCATTCAAAACGTATAAGACATGAATCTAATCTCTCAATGAAATCATAAGTAGCGGAAACAAATTCTTACTCGACTGAAATATCTGTAAATTAATAAAGAATCGAAACAATTTTCTTTTCGCTACTGCAGCAAAAAATTGAACTACCGATTAATACAATCAGACACATTTATTTATTTGATGTCAGCCATTTTATCTGACCACTTCAAGAAATAAGACTTCTGTGAAGTCTGTCATATATTTGTTTAATACTTGCATTTACCCAGTATAAATATAGAGAGCCACTCAATGGAGAGAATTACAGTTAAAATGTTAATGATGAATAAAGTGTGTGTTATAAAAGGAAGAGGAGATGGGTGAAAATAAAAAAATTCAAAATAAGGAGGAAATAAAATAATTAATCTTTGAATTGAAAAGATCAAAATGGGCGTGTTCAAGGAAGCAATCTTGCAAGCGTCTGTTCAATAAATTGGTAGTTCTTGGGAAAAGCTAAACGGAAATTTCCTCCGACCTTTGGAACAGGAAAAAATGAAGATGATTTGATTCCATGGAGGTAGCATGGGATGTCATAGCTGTAAAGGTCTGAACTAATGAATCTAAAGAATTTTTATTTGAACATTTGCCATGGAAATAGCGATAGAGAAGCAAGAGGCTGTTGACGTTGCGAGAGTGGGAAAGAGGCTGCTGAGTGTGGAGTAAGCAACCGCTACCCACTAAAACCGCGTAAACAAATGTTAATTTTATCAAGTCTGGAAAGAGAGGATTGTGTGTGTGAATAAGGTTTTAGAAATTTGAAAAAAGAATGGAAAATTTGCTACTCACAGTACGGATTGAAGGCAAGAGGGACAGAGAAAAATAACGTATACCATGCCTTGCGAGATTAACTAAATGGATGGCGGTGCTTGGTTTAAGAGAGATTATAAAAAGGTAACTTTTATTAAGAGCTTCAAAGGACAGAAAATTGTGGAGAGCTTTGCAACTTTAGATGATTCGGTATTGATAAGATTACAGACATACTAAATGAAATTTACAAGAGTAGAAAGAGCCTGTATAAATGCAGAAAGACGTGTTTTATAGATTATGTAAAAGCGTTTGATAAAGTATGTCACAAAAACTGTTGGATCTGCTAAGTAACACGGCATACTTGGGAAGGATATTGGAATAATCCAGAACTTATACTGTCAGCAAACTGTCTTCATACGTGTGGAAAATGCATTCAGTAAATACACAAAAATAGAAAACTGTGTAAGACAAGGATGTGCCTTCTCATCGGACTGGGAGAATTAGAAGCCCTGCCAGGATTTATTGTTTGGCAGCCACAATCCTATCAGTAAAAGATATGCAGATGGCGCAGTGTTGAAAGCAGATATAGAAAGAAAGTTACACGAACTTCTACAGAAGGTAATGAAGGAAAGCAAGAAGAAAGGACTAAACATCAATAGCAAGAAGACAAAAGACAATGTTTGTCGGCAAAAGGGTGCACCCAAAATGCAAATTACAAATTGGAGATACCAAAATCAAGAAAGTGCAACAATTTAAATATCTGGGAAGTGTTTAAACAGAGGAAGGAAATTGCGTCACTGAAATCTGAATGTGCAATGGGATAACGAACGGTGCCTTCCAAAATCTAAGCAAAGTATTAAGAAACAGGAAAATTTTGTTAAAAACAAAGAAAATATTACTGAACTGTTACGCGATATCAGTCGTCTTATATGACAGTGGATGCTGCTTGCACCTGAAGAAGAGACTTGCAGCAACAGAGATGCGGTTCTACAGAGGGATGCTGAGGATACCATGGACCGAATATGTAAGTTATAGAGAAGATGGAAGCAAAATGCAAACTTATATTTAACATCAAGATGAGACACCTGAAATTTCTAGGGCACATAACGAGGAAAAAGGACTTGGAAAAACTGATACTCACAAGACAGATTGAAGGCAAGAGTGATAGAGGCAAAGATCGCATGACCCACGTAGCGAGCTTGAGTAAATGGATAGCGGAAAAATATTTAGGAGAGAAAACAAATAGACAATATTTATTAAGAACTACAAAGGACAGAAGATTGTTAAGCGCCATGAAATCTAACCTCCTGAAGCGTTCTAACAGAGAACGGTTAATGAGACATTGAAACGAACTGGGATAGCGAAAGATGCCTTCCAAAAGTATTTCGTCCTGGGTATGACGATAAACTACATCCGGGTCCTGGGTAAGACGATAAACTACGTCCAGCAGCAAAGCCTCTGCTCAGGAGGTTTTGAGAATCGTGGAACCACCTCTTAATTGCTGGTGTTCCCAGGTCCACCCTGACCCGGGGTGGTAGCACCTGTTAGAGTCCCAGATATGGGCAAATAGTTAACACCCAAACTGGGGTAAAAATAGGTTTTAATACCAGAAATACTTGGTAATAAAAAATTATTACCAGCAATTACTTTTTAAGGAAAAATTATCAGTAGTACTTTAAAATAATACCAGCAATTGGAACAGCTATACATTCTTTGAAAAAAATATGACCAGCTATAGATTTCTTCAAGGAAAAATATTCCCAGAAATAGATTTTTGAAGAGAAATATTACCAGCAATAAAAATTGCCAGCATTAAATAACCCACTGAGGTTGATATGACGTAAAACAAAATAAACCAAACCGCTATAAAGCTATTTCAAAATTTTGTTGGCATTAAATGACCCACTGAGGTTGATATGCCATAAAACAAAACAACCAACCAAAAGTATTAATGCTACAGGAAAATTTCGTTAATAACGAAGAAAAGAGTACCGTACTGCTATGTAATATCAGTGCTCCAATATGGCCACCTTTTTGATCTTGTTTAAAATGGTGTCCATCTCGTTTAACTAAATAACATTTTAATTGTGGCTTAAATCAGGAGTTTCCTGTAAGTTAATGTGATTGTAATTCTGAATAAGGACGTCATTATTACTAAGTTGTTTTTTTTTGGGGGGGGGTCATATTAAATAATTCTTTGTAAAAAATTAATTTAGACAAAGCAATAAATTTAGAACGGTTAATAAGCTGTTTTTTTTTGGCTACAATCTTACTATAGTAACTACAGGGTCTTCCCAAAAGTCTGGAGACAGGCGAAAATGCATATTTCAAGAAATGAAATTTTCAACAAAATTTTATTGAATTGAAATATTAACAAATAACATCTTCATTATAATTTCCATCATTTGTGATGCGAAGTTTGATGCGTTTTGCAAGATTCACATAAACTCAATGCTATAACTACATATTGCCGTCAATTTTATTTTGTTGGTGCATAATTATCAGGCATTTTTAAACAATATTTTTATGAAAAAAGAAATATAACAATTCAACAATAACTTTTTTTTTTAAATGATTATACTGGAGCGTATGATTATCAACACGCATTTTTATAACCTGAAAACAAAATAATATTTTTATTTTAAAAAAAAGTAGACAAAACAGCAATTTTTATTAATAAATATTTCGCCTACAAAAAAAAACGCCTGATAATTATGCACCGATCAATAGCACATTCACTTTTTATGCGTTCACTCAAATGTGTTTCATCTGTTATTTTCATTAAGTACACGTTTTCCTTTAGCATGCCCCAGAGAAAGAAGTCAGTTCTTTTTTTATTCGTCAAGAAATGTTTTAATCTGTGGAGTTAAAATAAAATATAGTTAATGAGATATAATATGTATGTAAACCTTAGGGACACCCTGTATTATGATAGCTAAACTAAGTGGATTTTTGTATGAAGAAGTAATAAAGATTTGATCACTTAGATGAATAAGGACTTTAAGAAAAATTATTTTATTGATGCTGAGTTCAGATGTAAAATTACAGAATAACAAAGTTTCGCTTTGGTTTTTCTTTTCTGATCAAGATCTCTTGCATTTTGTTTTTAGTTTTTTGTGAGGTGATTTTTTTGTTTTGTTTTTTTTTTTTTTTTGCAAAAGTTTAATGTTTTATAGCAGATTTCTTCCCCTTTCGAAGATTAAGTCTCTTGATAATAAAAAAAACACATTCTGTTTATGCATCAATATTTCTTCCCGAGAACAATGACCTGACATCTATCATTGCGAAAGTGCAATATGCAAATATCATAAAAATCCACGACGCCTTTGATAATTCTTTCATTTTTTGATCGACAATTTTCTAGTTCTCTGCCACTCTAAATGCAAAAAAAAAACGATTCAAATCCTGGAGGCTCTTTACATTGAATGAAATCAACCTATAATTAATAACATTTGTTTTGATCAAATATTAAATTGCTTTTAAACTGTAGTCACGTGTGCCGCATGAAGCTAAATTTTATTTTTCATAATCACTTGAATCTAAGTTTATTTCAAACTTTAAACCTTAAACTTATAACAATATAAACGCCATACGAACTATCTCTTGACTTTCAATCATTTTGATACCATTTCAGAACTACCATGAACTTAAAAATGAACTTCAGTAATTTCAGTAAATTCCTTTACAGTCGTTGTCGTTGTAAACTGGTTCATTTGAAATTTGAATGGTCATCATCTGGTTGATTAAATCAACACGCAAACAACACGTACATGGGACATTTAAAAAAAGCCTTTGAGTGGAGTAGATGTAAGGTTCTGCTTATGACCCTTAAGAAGACCTTCCATAACCTGTTAGACTTTGCTCCTCGATTCAAACAGCGTTTATACAGACAGGTCACCAGTTGACCCAATCTCCAGCCATATTGGCTAAAGAAGAATCATAGCTTT